TATTGTTTAAGGTCGACGGACACGCATGTCTTAATTAGTTTTTTTTTTTGTTATTTTGTTTTTTTTTGTGGGGGGTTACGAATTGGTCAAATCCAAACTCAAACAAAAACATTGTTTTCAATCGTTATGAGTCTACCGATTGAATAGAATTTTATTATAAACAGTTGTCTTGTAAATTGTATTTTTAAAGCATGCTGAATGCAAAAATAAAGAAAAAAGTGTGCAAGACAATAAGAAACACTACCTGCCAAAAAAAAGTGAAGTTTTGTTGAAATCGGTTGAAAAATGTAGGAAATCCGATACCATATATAAATTAACACACACAGACACGCACACACACACAAACAAACAACCTGGGTTTTATAATAAGTATAACTCGATATGAGTTGTCACCCTTTCATTCTGGCGACAGCGATGCCTTTTAATCGTGTTTTCAAATTGATTTCGTGCAAAAACAATTGTGTTTTTCCAATTTTGGGCGCTATCAGAACCATTGCAAAGGTTATTTTACGTAGTTCTGTGAAGTTTTGTTGAAATCAATTTGAAAATGTAGGAAATCCGATCCAATATAATATACAAACACACACACACACACACACACACACACACACACACACAAACTGGGTTTTATAATAAGTATGATCAACCCATTTGTAGGTGAGCAAAAGTAAGGGAACAGATAGCCTTAAAGTAAATAACATTTAGTATTTAGTTGCATAATCCCTTGTTTGCAATAACTCCATAAATCCTGCAACCCATTGACGTCATCAAATTCTTGCATTCTTCAGTTGTGATGTTTTTCCAGATTTGTTTGTTAGTTTCTTTTTCCCTGGAGATGATGATGTCCTTTGTTGTGATCGAAACCAAAATTGACTTTTCCCTTGATGTCACGGTCCTGATTTGTACGGACAAATTTCATCCCGATTAGTTTGGAGACATTTCTCGGTAAATTGGAAGACAAAATGCTTCTGTATCCTTCTGAATGCATTCTGTTGCAAGCATCAAGAGTTACATCATCAATAAATATGTCTTGATGACTAATTCGGTCAGAGTAAATCTGCGTCTAGTCTCTTAACATATATCACCATTCTTGGTAGATTTTTTGATATGCCAATGTGGGAGAGTCAAGGAAAAATGTGATAGAGAGAAAAAGAAAAATAATACAGACGAATTTGGGTAGATTGAAAAAAAAATTATTTCAAAAATGATTTCAAAGATTATTCTTTTGAAAATATTTTGCAAAAAGTTTGAAACTACCAGCGTCCATCGTTTCGCGTGCCTGTGCACACGTGGCAACATCCCGATGGTGGAATCCTAACGAATGAAACGTCAGGCAAAAACTTTTTTCTAATTTGTCATACTATATATATATATATATGTATATATATATATATATATATATATATGCGTGTGTGTGCGTGTATGTGTTTATGTATGTATGTGTGTGTGTAATTAATGCAAATATAAAGTTTGTCACTTAGTTGATTGGTGTTACCTTCAGCATCCCGGCTCCAGAGTTTCGTAGACGAATTTTCCAGTAATCACTCCATCCACTCGACAGATTAGATCAAGTAACAGCATAATAAAAACTATCCAAATGTTGTCTTTATTTTCTGTTGAAATGAAAGCCACTATACGAAGCTTAGAACGGCTCATGATAAAGCATAATAAACATTCGTTATCTGCTATATTTGATAATATTTGTTTAAAATATATATATATATATATATATATATATATATATATATATATAACACCATCACTTGATAAGACACCAGAAGTGTTGAAACATGATGCCTAATTTTGTAGTGATTTTATAAAATTTTTTCTTTATAATTTTAGTGATTTTATAACATTATGTTATAATTTTCGAATAAATGATTATATATATTATATGTGTGTGTGTGTGTGTGTGTGTGTGTTCATTGAACGAAGAAAGATAACTAAATAACACAATATATATATATATATATATATATATATATATATATATATATATATATATATATATATGTTGTGTATGTGTGAATCTGCATATGTGTTTTTTAGGCATAAAAATAGTAGGTCCTTACTAGATTAAATATTCTTTTATTTTTTACATGTTTATTAGCAGCATGGCCCGGCGTTGCCAGTGCTTGATTCAAAAATCGTACGACTCATACAGCAATCGCTATCACTTGACTTAAAATATTTTTGCCATTCCTTGCCTTTAAATGAGTGCCTTTTGCCGTGCTGATGTTGCTACATGACTTACTTCTTGCCTATCTCACACTGCAAATTTTTTTCTAAGCTCTGTACTAAATATTAAACCTGTTACGAAAAAAGAACTAAACAAAATGAACACAAAACGATCAGCTTTAAAAAAAAAGAGGACTCGTAACTGGAAAAACCGAATGAAAAAAGAATGTTAACTACAAATACTTTTTCACATCAAACCCAGTTCTGCGGAATCAGAATTAATCCTGAGTTTAAGCAAGCGAATGAGCCAATTGGAGTAAAGTGCCATGCAGATTTAAATTTTTTCACACTTGTAACGAATGCAGCTATCGTTTTTTTTTTTGCATGCTAGCATGCTAGTTAGCATTCGTGTCAGTCAGCTGTTGGCTCTGACGCTGGCCAATAGAATCTTCCTGCATATTTGTGGCAGCCAGCTATTGGCTCTCAATCTGGCCAGTAGAAAATGGCCGCAAACTACATGAAAACTGCCGTAGAAGCATGAAAAAATCGATTATTTCCACTATCGATGGGAGTTGGGAAATGCAATGTCGGTCTTGTCCTACCACTAACTTGGAGCATCTGCATGTAAAGTTTGGTGCAAATCCATCGAAAATTGCGGCCGTGCATTTGTTACATATACACACACACACCCACACATCCTGCCTTTTATAGTTGGATGTTGAATTTGTAACCTGTAGGTGATATTACCTGCTTTGTCAAATTTCCTTGGTTACACATCAATTCTCTAATAAATGCCCTTGTTTTTAGTTTGCGCCATTTTTTCCTCTCTCTCTCTCTCTCTCTCTCTCTCTCTCTCTCTCTCTCTCACACATCTTCTGGATTTTAAGTTTAGATCATATCGTTCTTTATTGTGCGTAGTGTCACCACAAATATATGCACCCATTTCCGGTTTTTTTTTCCTTTTAATTTTAAGCCAACGATTCGGTAGCGAATTATGCATCGAAAAATAATTCATATTTATCTGTATCTCACTCATTTAAACTGTTTTTTAACTCCTCTCTTTAAAACTTCTCTCTTTAAATTTTAATCCCCACCTTCACCTTTAGGCCTTCCTGTTCTTTCTTCTTCTACACCTCTCTCTAAAGCGTTCATATATTTCCCTCTCACACTTGTTTCCCACTCCCAGACATATACTTTCACTAAAGTTTTGCTTTTTATACACGGAGTTATATTTTCCGATTTCTTTTTGAATTTTTAGGTCTGATGAATTGGATCGTGATTACGATTCCAATGTAATAAATTATAACCATGGAATATTTGTGTTTGAGCTTATATATATATATATATATATATATATATATATATATATATATATATATATATATATATATATATGGGGGGTGCGATGAATAAATTGTTGCAATTTTATATTTTCACATTCATTTTAATTTTATCGGCTGCACAGTAGGGTCAGTTAGGCACCGTCTGTGGGTAAAAAAGAGAAGCCTTGTGCAATTTACTCCGCCAGAAATTTGGAAACCGTGTGGTGTACGGCTTGGCATTCGCTCCGGAATCTCCAATACAAACATTTTATAGTGTTTGTGTGTCAATCTGAGGACAGTGCGGAAGATTCGGAATGAGTTGGATGATTCTAATGGTGATTTCGAAGATACGCCAGCTCGGAAAATTCACTGTGGGTGTTCTGATAAGAAAAGAACTTAAGAAATAGTTGGTGAGGGCCTCAAACAACACGGTGTCCTAGATCAAGTTCCTTGAGGGGGTATTATTGTGCTGGGTCAAGAGGGTAACTGATGGCAGCAAGATTCTGCACTATGCGGCAAAGCAGGAGAACCCTGTCATAATTGTCAGACAATGTCATCCCTTACATCTGGCCAACTAACTCCCCCTTGATTATTGTGTAGGGCGTGGTAGAGGGAGAGACAAATAAAACAAGGAAACCGTCCAGAAGAGTTGCAGGAGATTTCGAAGTTGTTTGGAGGCCATGGTTGAAGCCAATGGCGGTTTTATTGAATAAATTTATTCCTTAGTATTTTAAGATAATTTTGTGCAATTTTTATAAATCTATCTGTTAAAACGATAAGTGTGTGTTATGTTCATTTTATCGTAGTCCTGATGACAATATATCCATCGTATATATATATATATATATATATATATATATATATATATATATATATATATATATATATGTATTATTAATAGTAGTAACTCTTATTAGTATAAGAAATTATACTCGATCGGAAAATTTTCGGAGTCTTGATTTGCAAATAATCAAGCCAACACCAAAGGGAAAAAAGGTATAAAAAAAAAAGAAAAGAACCAAGAAAATATTCGCCTGGCATACAAGTCCAAAGAAAAAAAAACCCGATGCGAGTACCCAAAATAACCAAATAAAGTGCTCAATAGCTGGCTTCACTGACGATCCGCTTAAGTGAAACCTTGGTACGTTTGTCTGACTCTCTAGGTTTAACTATATACATGTAGATATATTCACACACACTCACATACATATATATATACAGATGTGTTTATATATATATATATATATATATATATATATATATATATATATATATATATATATAGCGAGAGACAGAGAGAGGCGTTTCCATATTTCCATATACAGGTGACGATATAAATAATTTACTTTGAAGTTTTTGGGGAAAAACTGCCATTCTAATTAAGCCTGAAACTTACAAAATTCATATTCACAAATAATTCTGTGTAATGGTACAAAGGAGAAGTGACCAGAAGATTGTTTAGCACCAAACAGCCAAAGTGTGGAGGCTCATTAGTACTCGATGAAGAGAATCGCAAATGAAATAAATGCATTATATTTTCCTCCTTTTTTTTTTCCTTCGTCTTGCTTAATTTCACTCTCCTTCACTCATTCTATCTATCTATCTATCTATCTATCTATCTATCTATCTGTCTGTCCGTCTCACTATCTATCTATCTATCTATCTATCTATCTATCTCTGCCTGTCTGTCTCTTTATCTATATATCTATCGATCTATCTATCTCATTATATGTATCTATATAACTCTTTCACTCTCTGTCTATCTATCTATCTATCTATCTATCTATTTATCTATCCCTCTATATCTCTACCTCTCTCTCTATCTCTTTCTATCTTATCTATTCATCTTCTATCTATCTATATCTATCTATCTGTCTATTCAGTTTGTCTGTCTATCTATCTGATATCTATCATTCATTCATCTATCTATATCTATCTATCTATCTATCTATCTATCTGTCTGTCCGTCTCATTTATCTATCCATTCATCTATCATTCATTCATCTATCTATCTCTGTTTGTCTGTCTCTTTTATCTATATATCTATCGATCTATCTATCTCATTATATGTATCTATATAACTCTTTCACTCTCTCTCTCTCTCTATATATATATATATATATATATATATATATATATATATCTCTCCCTCTCCCTCTATCGCTTTCTATCTAACTATATATCTGTATTCATCTATCCATCTATCTATCTCTCTCTATCTATTTATCTATCCTTATATCTCTAATACCTCTTCTTCTATCTCTTTCTATTATCTATATATCTATCTATTCATCTATTCATCTATCTATCTATTCATCTATTATCTGTCTGTCTGTCAGTTTGTCTGTCTGTCTCTCTATATCATCATCTATCTATCTATTCATCATCTATCTATCTATCTGTTTATCTATTCATTCATTCATTCATCTATCTATCTATCTGTCATTGTCTATCTGTCTGTCTGTCTGTCTATTCATTATCTATTATTCATTCATCTATCTATCTATCTATCTCTGCCTGTCTGTCTCTTTATCTATATATCTATCGATCTATCTATCTCATTATATGTATCTATATGTCTTTTCACTCTTGTTTCACATCTAATCTATCTAAATATTATATATATCTATATATCCTCATCTATCTCATATCATCTCATCATCTATCTATTCATCTCATATCTATTCATTATATTCATTCATTCATTCATCTATCTATCTATCTGTTTGTCTGTCTGTTCATCTATTAGACATCTATCTGTCTGTTTGACTATCTATCTATTCATCTATCTATTCATATCTATCTATCTATATTTCTATCTATCTCTGTTGTCTGTTTATCTATTTATCTATCATTCATTCATTCATCTATCTATTCATCTATCTATCTCTTTATCAATATCATATCGATCTATCTATCTCATTATATGTATCCATCTAACTGTCTCTCTCTCTTTCTCTATCTATCTATCTATCTATCTATCTATCTATCTATCTATCTCTGTCTGTCTGTTTATCTATCTATCTATCTATCTATCTATCTATCTATCTATCTATTGCATGGTGATATAGACGATAGGAGACAGAAGGACTGAGCTATTATAACCTCACACGAGCAGGCGAACGCATTCGTTCATTTTATTTTTCCCCTCTACAATTATATCGATATATCTGATTATGTTTCAGTTTTATTTTCGTCTTTCATATAATATTTATTTCAAAGAGTCGGAAAAGAATGAAAAAAAGAGAGAACGAAAATAGAAAAAAAATCAAATGAGAAAATAACGAAGAAAAATGAATGAAAACAGCAGAAACAAAACAGACAATGAGGACAGATTGAAGAAAGAAAGAATGAAAGAAGAAAGAAAGAATGAAAGAAGGAATGAAGGAAGAAAGAAAGAATGAAAGAAAGAATGAAAGAAGAAAGAAAGAATGAAAGAAGGAATGAAGGAAGAAACAGACAGAAAACGGAGTCGAAAAGTAAGTGATGTCATAAAAGAACAATAAAGAAGAAAGCAAAGACAGATATAAAAAAGAAAGAAAGAAAGAAGAAAGAAAGAAAGAAAGAAGAAAGAAAGAAGGAATGAATGAATGAAGGAAGGAAGGAAGGAAGGAAGGAAGGAAGAAAAAGACAGAAAACAGAATAGAATAGTAAAAGATGTCATAAAAGAACAATAAAGAAGAAAGAAAGAGAGATATAAAAAAGAAAGAAAGAAGAAAGAAAGAAAGAATGAATGAAAGAAAGAAAGAAAGAAAGATTGAAAGAAAGAAAGAAAAAGAAAGAAAGAAGGAGAGAAAGAAAGAAAGAAAGAAAGATTGAAAGAAAGAAAGAAAGAAAGAATGAAAGAAGAAAGAAAGAATGAAAGAAGGAATGAAGGAAGAAAAAGACAGAAAACGGAATAGACAAGTAAGCGATGTCATAAAAGAACAATAAAGAAGAAAGAAAGACAGACATAAAAAAGAAAGAAAGAATGAAAGAAGGAATGAAGGAAGAAAAAGACAGAAAACGGAGTCGAAAAGTAATTGATGTCATAAAAGAACAATAAAGAAGAAAGAGATATAAAAAAAAAAGAAAGAAAGAAAGAAAGAAAGAAGAAATAAAGGAAAAAAAAGACAGAAAACGGAATAGAAAAGTAAGTGATGACATAAAAGAACAATAAAAAAGAAAGACAGAATGAAAGGAAACTGGAAGAAATACAAGATGCAAATATCATGGAACCAGAATGCAAGAAATATTTAAAGAGAGAAATATAGAAATAAAAATAAGACAAAATGAAATTGTAAGGAAATAAAAGGAAGGAAAATAAATAAAAGGAAAGAAGATAAACAGGAAGAGAAAAGACAATGCAAATATAATGGAACAAGAAAGAAAGAAAGAAAGAAAGAAAGAAAGAAGAAAAGAAAGAAAGAAGGAAAGAAAGAAAGAAAGAAGGAAAGAAGAAAAGAAAGAAAGAAAGAAAGAAAGAAGGAAAGAAAGAAAGAAAGAAGGAAAGAAGAAAAGAAAGAAAGAAAGAAAGAATGAAAGAAAGGAAAAAAGAAAGAAAGAAACAAGCAATCACATAAACAAAGAATGAATGAAAGAATGAAGAAAAGATAGAAAGAGAAAGAAAGAAAATAAGAAAGAAAGAAAGAAGGAAAGAAAGAAAGAAAGAAAAAGGAAAGAAAGAAAGAAAGAAAAAAGGAAAGAAAGAAGGAAAGAAAAAAGAAAGGAAAAAGAAAGAAAGAAAGAATGAAAGAAACAAGCAATCAAATAAACAAAGTATGAATGAAAGAATAAAGAAAAGATAGAAAGAAAAAGAAAGAAAGAAAATAAGAAAGAAAGAAAGAAAGAAGGAAAGAAAGAAAGAAAAAGAAAGAAAAAAAAGAAAGAAAGAAGGAAAGAAAGTAAAAGAAAGAAAGAAAGAAAGAAGGAGAGAAAGAAAGAAAGAAGGAAAAAAAGAAAGAAAGAAAAAGGAAAGAAAGAAAGAAGGAAAGAAAGGAAGAAAGAAAGAAACAAGCAATCAAATAAACAAAGTATGAATGAAAGAAAGAAATAAAAAGAAAAGAAAGAAAAAAAGAAAGAAAAAAAAGAAAGAAAGAAAGAAAAGAAAAGAAAAAAAGAAAGAAGGAAAGAAAGAAAGAAAAAGAAAGAAAGAAAGAAGAGGAGAGAAAAGAAAGAAAGAAAAAAAGAAAGGAAGAAAAAGGAAAGAAAGAAAGAAGGAAAGAAAGAAAGAAAGAAGGAAAGAAAGAAAGAAAGAAAAAAGGAAAGCAGGAAAGAAGGAAAGAAGGAAAGAAAGAAAGAAAGAGAAAAGGAAAGAAAGAAGGAAAGAATGAAAGAAAGGAAAAAGAAAGAAAGGAAAAAGAAAGAAAGAATGAAAGAAAGGAAGAAACAAAGAATGAATGAAAGAATGAAGAAAAGATAGACAGAAAACGGTGTAACAAAAACAAGGTCATTGAGAGGCAAAAAGGAAAGAAAGAAAGAAGGAAAGAAGGAAAGACAGAAAGACTTCATGGATGAATGAAGAAAAGAATGAAAAAAAAGTGTAAAAACGAAAAAAACAAGCAATAGAAGAAAACGGAAGGTCATAAAAGGAAAAAAAAGACAGACAGAAAGAAAGAACGAAAGAAAGAAGAAAAGACAGAAAGAAAGAAAGAAATAACGAAAGAAAGACAGAGAGAAAGAAAGAAAGAATGAAGGAAAGACAGAAAGAAAGAACGAAAGAAAGAAAGAAAGATAGAAAGAAAGAACGAAAGAAAGAAAGAACGAAAGAAAGAAAGATGGAAAGAAAGAAGGAAAGACTGAAAGAAAGAAAAAGAAAGAAAAAAGACTGAATGAATGAAGAAAAAAATGAAAACGGTGTAAAAAAGAAATTGAGGACATAATAAATAAAAAAGAAAAAGAAAGAAAGACATATATAAAAAGGAAAGAAGGAAAGAAAGAGAGAAAGAAAGAAAAATGTAAATAAAGAAGCAAAAAGAAAGAAAGAATGAAGGAAAGAAAAAAGAAAAAAAAAAAAAGAAAAAAAAAATAAGGAAATATGAAAAAGGAAAGAAAGAAAACGGAAACGAAAAAAGACAATGCGAGAATAATGGAAAGAAAGAAAGAAAGAAAAATGTAAAAAAGAAAGAAAGAAAGAAAGAATGAAAGAAAGAAAGAAAGAAAGAATGAAAAAAAAAAGAAAAAGACAAGACAGAAAAAAAGAACAAGAAAGAAAGGAAAGAAAGAAAAGAAAGAAAGAAAGAAAGAAAGAAGAAAGAAAGAAAGAAAGAAAACGGAAGGAAAAAAGAAAAATGCGAAAAAATGGAAAAAGAAAAAGAAAGAAAGAAAGAAAGAAAGAAAGAAAGAAAGAATGAAAAAAAAGAAAGAAAAAAAAGAATGAAAGAAAGAAGAAAGAAAGAAAGAAAGAAAGAAAGAAAGAAAGAAAGAAAGAAAGAAAAAGAAAGAATGAAGGAAAAGATAAAAGCTAAATAATGGAAAAGAAAGAAAAGAAAGAAAGAAAGAAAGAAAGAAAGAAAGAAAGAAAGAAAAAAAAAAGAAAGAAAGAAAGAAAGAAAAACGGAAAGAAAAAAACAAAATGAAAAACATAATGGAACAAGAAAGAAAAGAAAAGAAAACGGAAAAAAATGAAAAAGAAAGAAAGAAAGAAAGAAAAAAAAGAAAACGGAAGGAAAAGACAAAGGAAAGAATAATGAAAGAAGAAAGAAAGAAAGAAAGAAAGAAAGAAAGAATGAAAGAAAGAAAGAAAGAAAGAAAGAAAGAATAAAGAAGTAAGAAAGAAAGAAAAAAAGAAGAAAGAAAGAAAGAAAGAAAGAAAGAAAACGGAAGGAAAAAAGACAATGCTAACATAATGGAACAAGAAAGAAAGAAAGAAAGAAAGAAAGAAAGAAAGAAAGAAAGAAAGAAAGAAAAAAAGAAAGAAAGAAAGAAAGAATGAAAGAAGAAAGAAAGTAAGAAAGAAAGAAAGAAAACGGAAGGAAAAAAGACAATGCGAACATAATGGAACAAGAAAGAAAGAAAGAAAGAAAGAAAGAAAGAAAGAAAAACGGAACAAGAAAAAAGAAAAGAAAAAGAACGGAACAAGAAAGAAAAAAGAAAGAAAGAAAGAAAGAAAGAAAGAAAGAAAGAAAGAATGAAAGAAGAAAGAAAGAAAGAAAGAAAACGGAAGGAAAAAAGACAATGCGAACATAATGGAACAAGAAAGAAAGAAAGAAAGAAAGAAAGAAAGAAAGAAAGAAAGAAAGTAAGAAAGAAAGAAAGAAAACTGAAGGAAAAAGACAATGCGAACATAATGGAACAGGAAATAAATAAATAAAGAAAGAAAGAAAGAAAGAAAGAAAGAATGAAAGAAAAAAAAAAAAGAAAAGAAAAAGGACGGAAAAAAGACAATGCGAACATAATGGAACAAGAAAGAAAAAAGAAAAAAGAAAGAAAGAAAGAAAAAAAGAATGAAAGAAAGAAAGAGAAAAAGAAAAAAAGAAAGAAAGAGAAAAAGAAAGAAAAGAAAGAAAGAATGGAAAAAAGAAAGAAAGAAAAGAAAAAAGAAAGAAAGAAAGAAAGAAAGAAAGAAAACGGAAAGAAAAAAAACAAAGAAACAAAGAAGAAACAGAAATAAAGAAAGAAAGAAAGAAAGAAAAAAAAAAGAGAAAGAAAAAAGAATGAAAGAAAGAAAGAAAAAAAGAAAGAAAGAAAGAAAAAAACGAAAAAAAGACAATGCGAACATAATGGAACAGGAAATAAATAAATAAAAAGAAATAAAAGAAAAGAAAGAAAGAAAAAAGAAAAGAAAAAAAAGAAAAAAGAAAGAAAGAAAGAAAATGGAAGGAAAAAAAGACAATGCGAACATAATGGAACAAGAAAGAAAGAAAGAAAGAAAGAAAGAAAAGAAAGAAAAAGAAAGAAAGAAAGAAAACGGAAGGAAAAAAGACAATGCGAACATAATGGAACAAGAAAGAAAGAAAGAAAGAGAGAAGAAAGAAAGAAAAAAGAAAGAAAGAAAGAAAGAAAAGAAAACGGAAGGAAAAAAGACAATGCGAAACATAATGGAACAAAGAAAGAAAGAAAGAAAGAAAGAAAGAAAGAAAGAAAGAAAGAAAGAAAAAAAAGAAAAGAAAGAAGAAAAAAAAAAAAAAATACAGAAAAGAAGAAAGAAAGAAAAAAAAGAATGAAAAGAAAGAAAGAAAGAAAGAAAGAAAGGAAAGAAAAAAGACAATGCTAACATAATGGAACAAGAAATAAAGAAAGAAAGAAAGAAAGAAAGAAAGAAAGAAAAAAGAATGAAAAGAAAAGAAAGAAAAGAAAGAAAGAAAGAAAGAAAGAAAGAAAAAAAAAATGAAAGAAGAAAAAAAAAGAAAGAAATAAAAGAAAACGGAAGGAAAAAGACAAAGCGAAATAATGGAAGAAAGAAAGAAAGAAAGAAAAAAAAGAAAAAAGAAAGAAAAAAGAAAACGGAAGGAAAAAAAGACAATGCGAACATAATGGAACAAGAAAAGAAAGAAAGAAAGAAAGAAAGAAAGAAAGAAAGAAAGAAAGAAAGAAAGAAAACGGAAGGAAAAAAGACAATGCGAACATAATGGAACAAGAAAGAAAGAAAGAAAGAAAGAAAGAAAGAAAGAAAGAAAGAAAGAAAGAAAGAGAAAGAAAACTGGAAGGAAAAGACAAGGAAATAATGGAACAGGAAATAAATAAATAAATAAATAAAGAAAGAAAAGAAAGAAAGAAAGAATGAATGAAAAGAAAGAAAGAAAAAAATAAAGAAAGAAAGAAAGAAAGAAAAAAAAAATAAAAGAAAAAGAAAAAAAGAATGGAACAAGAAAGAAAAGAAAGAAGAAAAGAAAAAGAAAGAAAGAAAGAAAGAAAACGGAAGGAAAAAGACAATGCTAACATAATGGAACAAGAAAGAAAGAAAGAAAGAAAGAAAGAAAGAAAGAAAGAAAGAAAGAAAGAAAGAAAAATACAGAAAAGAAGAAAGAAAGAAAAATACAGAAAAGAAGAAATGTGGTGACAAAAAAACACCGAGTTATC